GGGGGGCCTGCCACCTGCCAACCTCGGCATGGGGTGTGGGGGGTTGAGGGCAGCCCCTGGGCCCCCAGCCTGCCCCAGTTCGGTGTCCCACCGAAACCCCGGTCCCTGGTGCCACCGCCACTGAGCCCTGTGCAATGGAGGTTTCCTCGCACCCCAGCTTTGTGGCAGAGCTGATGCTTCAGCCACCACATTTCCTCCGAGCGCCGTCTTTCGGCTGGTTCCCGTGCCAGTCGGTGGGCGTCGGTGAGCGTCCCATCCTTCCCGCAGGTGAGGACGATGGCCAGCCCGGAGGACGACCTCATCGGCATCCCCTTCCCCGAGCACAGCAGCGAGCTGCTGAGCTGCTTGAATGAGCAGCGGCAGCTGGGGCTGCTCTGCGACGTTACCATCAAGACGCAGGGGCTGGAGTACCGCACCCACCGCGCCGTCCTGGCCGCCTCCAGCCGCTACTTTAAGAAGCTCTTTGCCGGGCCGGGGCCGGGGCAGGAGGTCTGCGAGCTGGACTTCGTGGGGCCGGAGGCACTGGGCGCACTGCTGGAGTTTGCCTACACGGCCACGCTCACCATCAGCAGTGCCAACATGGGTGAGGTGCTGCGCGCCGCCCGGCTGCTGGAGATCCCCTGCGTGATTGCCGCCTGCGTGGAGATCCTGCAGGGCAGCGGGATGGAGGCGCCCGGCCCCGATGACAGCGACTGCGAGCGTGCGCGCCCGCCGACGGCACGGCGTGGCTTGGCACAGGCCGGCACGGCGTGGCAGGGTTCAGTTTGGATGGGCCTGACGCGGCTCAGCATGGCCTGGTGCGGCTCGGCGATGTCCAGTGCCACATGCCACCATCTGCCATGGCTTGGCTCGGCTCAGCGTGGCACAGCACGGCTCTGGCAGCACTGAGAGCCTGGACATGGCGGTGCTGTGTGCCCGCCTCTGCCTTCCCCAGGGTGCAGGCAGGGCTGCAGCCACCGGACAGACCTCCCACCCCAGCGTCACCCAGCAGCCCTGGTGTCACCCAGCAGCCCTGGTGTCACCCAGCAGCACCAGACAGCCGGGAGAGCATTACCTATGGCTGGGCAGGGGGTTGCAGGCCAGGTTGCAGCACCAGAGCTGCCGCTGCTGCCTGTACCCTGCCTGCGGGTTGGGAGGGCAGCGGGCTCCCTCTTCCCACCGGCTCCATCGCCCACCCGCGCTGGCTCCATGGGGATGTGCCGGGTCCCCAGCGCAGCACCATGGGCACCCCGGGTGCCAGTGCTGGCAGTGCCGGGTTTACGGCTGAGGCCAAGCCCTGCCGCAGCGTGGGAAAGGCCTGGCTCGCGCAGGCAGGGCTTGGCTGGGCGAGGAGCGGCCCCGGGCTGGGGCAAAGCGGGAGGGAGGGGGCCGGGCCCCCACCAGGAGCGGGGGCAGGAACCGGCGGCGCGGGTGCTGATCCTAATCTGCGGTGGCAGGAAGCATGGCCCCCGTTCCCAGCCCGGCTGGGCTCTGTGGGGCGGCCCCCGGCCCTCGGGGCCCTCTTCCCGGCACTCGCCCGCCCACCCGTGCCCGCCGC